GTGTTCCCTGACTCTGAAATATTCAACCCTATTTATCTTGCCAAAACCTTTCACAAGCTGTGAAAGATCAGTTAACATTTTTGGAACAAGAGAGAGACCGAGAAGAGCTGAAAAGTGTAAGTTCAAGGTTGATTTTAAAGAGCAAAACAATGGAAGGCTGATTCTATTTTAAGCAAACAAATAAAAGCAAACAAAAAAAGAAAAAAAAAACCCACCATGCAAAAAAAGCAGAAAACTATGGAAAACTGAGTAATATTTTTTTTTCATTATAACTTGGGATACATTTGTTAGAAAAAGTGAGTGTCCTACTGGACAGGAATTCCATATTTCAACCATTTCAAGAACATAGCATTCACTAAGGAATTAAGCTCTTTATGAATAATAGTGTGTGACTAAGAAAAGATTGGACTACTGCTGTGTGCGGTCAGATCTACCACATTAAGTCCTCAAATACCTCCCGTCACAGCTAGATACTATTGCTTTGTTAGACACTATAGAACTAGAAAAGACTACTTTAAAGTATCTTGTAACATTTGCCTGGGCCAACCAGTCCCTAAGTGAAATACCTTTCTAAAGAATATCTCTATCTCTCATACTGTTTCTAAATTTGTTGTTTACATTAAGAAATTTATAATACTGACATTTAGCATTTGACAGTGAAATATAATGTCCTTCAGGTTAATTACCCTTCCTACACACAGGGACAATTACTATAAGATACAGTATATAGAACAACTGGGACATTTTGTGGGGGTTTTCAAAACTCTAAATCTCCTATGAGTAATGTGAACAACACTTGGTGCGAGAAATACTTTATGACAGTATAGAATGATGTGTTTAATTAAGTGCTGTTTACACACACTCCGTACTCCCTTACCCCTATTACAGCCTGTTCCTTTTTACTGAATGTGTTTTGTACATTAGGAGAGATTTAACATTTGCAGAACAACTTCAGGTGCTCAATGATTTATGGACCAGATCCTGGTGATCCAGTTGAAATAATTGGAGTGATTTCCATTGACTTCAACACAAATTGGATCATGGCCCTCAGCAAGTCATTTCAGTTCAGCAAACCTGCATGGGTTGAAAAAAGGTTTTTGGAACACGTCAAAGTCCCAACAGCTGAAGATTTGCTAAGAAAGCTTTCTGAATCACTTTAATAAGGAGCCTGACTGTATGATCTTTTCCTGAACAACCCCCCCTAAATTTATTCAAGATGCCAAATAAATAATAAAAAGGTAAATATTGAAATATGCAGTGGAACAAGTCATGTTGTTAAATTTTGTTTTGGTTTGGTTTTTCAAATAACACATAATTTCTAGATTTGTGTTAAAAAAAAGAAACATAGGAACTGAAAGCACCTACTGAAAGGTGAGTCTGTACTGTGTGGTTAAAGAAATAGGAATGACAGGAGTTAGCCAGCCCAAAAATGCAGCCTACAGACAGAAATGAGAGAGGAACAGTCATAGTTTGTACGCTCTGAGGGTCTCACAGAGGCCCTACCTCGCTCCACTGTCTGTCCCTTCCTCATGTTATTCCTTCATGTTTATTTTCACTTCTTTCTTTCTGTAAGTACCAGCTAAAACTGATTTTCAGTTCGGAAACCAAAGTAAACCAGAAATTAATAAAAAGTTACTACATGATTGGCATTTTTGTTTAGCTTCCTTTTTACCCCTAAAAGTAAATAAATGCATTTGACCCATTCCTGTTTACTGACTCCTTCTGTCTTTTAAAGTAGATACTGGGACAAAGTCATGTGATGCCCAGTTTTATACAAGTCATTTGTAGCAACACAAAATGTACCACATGATCCAGACCCACTCCTGGGTCTTTCTGCTTTTACTTAATTCCTATTTTTTTTATTGTAAAGTAGACCTATGAAAGAAAGAAAACAACTGCTAAAGCTCCTAAGAAAAACAGGTTATTTTTACAAGATGACCATCCCATTTTGAATCATGACTGCTCTCTTTTGAACAAGAAACAGTGATAAAGATATAGATATTAAAAGTCTTACTTATCAGAAATACCTAAATAATATACCACACTACAAAGTGATTAAATAAAAGATTGTTGCTCCAACTCTAAGTCTTTAAAAGATAGGGAAATGATTCAGTACTGAAGCACTTGACTGGAAAACTCAAACAATTATTCACTGGTTGGCACAAAGGTGGAAATGTACTTTTTTAAACATCATGCCTGAAATAGAATTTGCTTTTTTCCATATTAGATGTAAAGGAAGAAATACACAACCACCTGAATCTTCTAACAGCTCTGTGTTTTAGAATAGTGGGATTGCATTTTCACAGAAAATATTTACTATATGTAGGACATAACATCCCTGAGAACCATGGAGACTAATTGGCGGCTCTTTGAAGATCTGCTTAGAAGAAGAATGAGATCTGCTTTGTCAATTCGAAATCAACTTCCCTAAAAAATCAGCTAAGTAGCTACCAACAAAGCATCTGAGCTGCCTAAACCTACCTCTGAAATCCGTAGACAATGGCACCTCAGACGAACAATAAATCTTGTATATCAATCCATATGTAACTTGTTGAGTGATGCTATGCACACGACTGTCTAAACTCTGCAATATGTGTGTTCAATGTAGTATAAAACTGTCTCTTTGAGGTTTGCTGTTTGCACTTTTGCTTGTTTTTTTGTGGTTTATTCAGACATTGGAGAGTTCATTGGCACTATATACAACAGGATCTAGAGCCCCATGGGTTTTGTGTCCGTCCTCTATGCTTTCCTTCACTCGAAAATATATTCTTCAGGGATAGAAATCAAACTCAGCTCTGCTAAAGGGTTACATGAACCAGGATAGATAGACCCCATTGTAATCCCCTTTTGTGACAGTGTTGCACACTCTCCACCCCTCATTCTCCCTGTTACTGTGCTACTTGTCACAGTCACCAGGAAGATCGGTGGCTGGCATGAGGGGAACAGATAGCTACCTACCCCAGTCAGGCATCCTCAAGGCTGGTGCAAAAGACAGTCAACTTTTCTCGGACTTACCTGAAATTGGGGCCAGATCTTACTGCCATGTGTTAGACATACTCACATCATATGGGGTCCCTTCCTCAGCAAGACTCTTACCCTCACCCAGATTCAGAAGAAAATTATTTTTCTTCTTTAGGGATGGACACAAAAGCATTGTGGTAGGAGCAGGGGAAGAATAAGAGCAGGTAATAATAAAGGCAATAAGTAACATACCAAAACACTTTGCTGATTTTTGAATGTAAAATAACTTTCTGTTCTGAAATGTAAACACTTCACTTTTCCCCCTCAGACATGGCCTGAGACTCATAAAACCTCATACCATAGTCAGACGCCATCCAAAGATGTTCTACCTCCTCCATTCCTGATGCAACTAGGGTACTTGGTGTGCTCAGGATGTCCAGGAACAAACACAGAGGTGAACCCAAATGGTTCACAGAGAGATCCTGGCAGACCTTGCACAATTCAAAGAGGTGTGGATCAAGTACAGATAGGATAAATGTGAAGTGGTTTCTCCCCATAACACTGCAAGGGTCCTTCCGAAGATGCATTAAATACTACATTTTTTCTCATATGGGAAGTTGATCTTTGGTGCACTGTACCAGGATTGCATGGACAGCATATTGGAATTGTTATTTCACTCAGGCTGCGGTAAAGAAATCTACGGTCTCCATCATTCAAGACAGCAAAAGACCAGCAAAACATGTTATAAAACATTGTTTCCAAAAGTAAATAAAAGTTACATGCAAATAACAAATCTAGTCCCAACAAAGAGGCCTCCTGATGGCTTGGATGATGATTCCAATTTTCTGGTAAATTAGAAGAATAAAGATGAGAAAGCAATGGAGCAACAGTGGCATGTAAAAAATTAGCTTTAACAGATGAATAAAAGGATGAGAAGATGAGATATTATGCCAGTTGTCATTCTTGGCAGGGATAGTTTGACAGTACTGCTGGAAGGACAACAAAACAGAAAGGAATAACAGTTTTCATATCAGCTGCTGGGTTTTCATATTTTAGGAGCTCAGGATTTGCCGTGGTGCTTTTGTGCTTCTGATTCTGAGAAATCACAGAAATGGATGGGCTGAGTGGACAAGAGAGACATAGAGGAAGAGTGTAAGCAGCATTTCTTGCACCATCTTTGATCCTGAAAGCTGGTTTCAGCATGAGTCTTGCACCCTTAGTGTAACTCAGCCTTGGCCTTCCTCATCTTTAATCTCCCTTCCCCTCTTTTTCTATTTAATTAGAATCTGCCTTAACTTGGCCAAACCTCTCTATTTTTGTATTTATTTTTCTATTATATTAATTTCCTTTTGTTTGGTTTTTGGTGTCTTTTTATCAGTTTGGTTTTTGTGGGTTTTACTGTTGTTATTGTTGTTAACCCTGTGACCAGAAAGACAGCTAATAGTAGTATAATGAACATGAATTCAAACTTGCCAGGTATTGGAGTGGCTGATAAGACTATGTGCTGTTCTTGTCTTTCTCCAGCAGCAAGGTTACAAATCAGAGTCAACAGCACAAACAGAAGCTTTTTTTTTCTTTTCTTTTTTTTAATATTTTACCCACTCCCTTTGGGTATGTGCATGTGCTGTTTTATTTTCAAGGGAGTAGGCCCAGATTCCAATAAAAGAGACAAGTACAGCTCCAGTCATTTCAGCTGCTTTTTATTTTATTATTCTCTCCCAAAGGGGGAGTTAATATCATCTTAATACTGTATAAAAAGACACTATCAACCAGGGAATTTTCCACATAAAAATGCTCTGCAGCTAAAAGAAAAGGGGATAATGGATGCTGTTAAAATGAAAGTCTCCTTGAGCACTTTACATAACAAGTACTTTATCTGCTTGTCTTCTGTATTTTTCATAAAAGATTTAAAAAACTTTAATACTGATTGTTTGCTGTAAGACTTAGATGGCCACATATCTGTGTACCCATTCCCATGGAATGTGCAGCCATTCTGAGCTCTGCAATGAGAAAGTCATGACAGCACCTTTACCCCCAAGCTCCTGTGCTCCAAAATTCAAACAATTCCCAGAACACAAGCAGTGCCACTCTGCATCCCACATTCAAACTCTTTTGGGTATTTATTTTGGTTTCTGAGGGTATATACGTTTGCAATCTTGACAGATACATTTCCGTCTTCTCCGAGGAGAAGCACAAGGCTCCTTCAGCTCCTTAGCTGGGGAAGGTGTTACAGCTTGAGACTGTCCTCTACAGAATTGATTATCTCCTCTCAACGTGGACTGGTGCAGCTGAGCAGGTCCCATTGTACGGTGGCAGCTCATGGGCTAGAAAAGTTGTCATGCACCACTGGTGTCTGCGGTGTTTCAATTCAAAGCTCTGCATTATCTCTAATGGCATAATAGCAAAGGGCTCCTTGGGATGAAGGGAAGCGAAATGTGAGGCTGTATCACTGCTGCTTGTGACAGCATGAGGTTTGCCTACTGTGCAAAAACACAGGTTATCAGCTCAAACCTGAAATAGAAAATGCAGATATTTAAGAAAATGTATAATTTATACACAGAAGCTGCTGGAGAAACAGGGAAAAAAACCCCAGCTCTGCTTTTCGTTTGTCTAAGAGATGTAGCGTGTAATGACATCTTCCATTTTTTGGAAGGGTAATAGAAACCCACGCAACAGTGACTCATCTGAAGAATTTTCCAGTGCTGAAATCTACCAGGATGCCTTTCTCAAAGAAGATACTACTTTGTCCTTTGCACAAGGGCCAGCAGCACAGATTGGCAGTACATAAGTAAAAAAATAAGAGTTGAAAAGCAGTAATTTGATACTTTTACATTTTCTGTCTACAAATGAATAAAACATGTTTTACTCAGTCAAACTAATCCAGTATAAGCTTTTATAGTCCAGTATCCTGTCTCCAGCAATGGCCAAAACTAAATATTGAATGTGTGTAAATATGATTTACATACACAGACACACACATATACATATGTATATATGCAACATCTGTGAAATTTCCCACATCTGGGATCCCACATGGGTGACGACCTTCAACTTCAGGCCTTCCACGTGCAGCGTTGGATCTTCCACCAAAGTATTTGTGAAAACACCAATTACTGAGTATTAATGACATGATCAGCAGACACAAAAGGCAGTGCCAATGTAGCACACATTAAAATCAGGAAGAGAATAAAGACAAATTAAAATAATCATATAGTTATAGAAGTCAGTATATTTCTAAGGCATTTTCTGATGGAGCTGGTAGACAGGCAAAATCATCCATCAGTTCTTTGTTGCAGGAAATAGGAAAATTCCAGCTGATAGCAAAGATGTTCACAGACTGTACTCAACTGTATATTTCTCTTGCTCTGTTCTGAGGAAAGATGGAGGAACATGTGACTAAACAATGTGTTGAATCAGATGCCAGGAAGAGTTCATTTTTTATGTGCTGCTCCCTTGGCCTTTTTAAATTGTGAAGGGATCCCAGAGGTACCCAGCCATGTAATCTACAGCAGAGAAATTTCTATGAGCCCCAAGACAAAGCTTAAAGCACAAGATGTGAAGATGAACTCATTTCTTTCCAGACTCACAGGGCTATTTCTGGTCAAGCTGTGCTTCTGCAGGCAAGAGCTGTAAAGGATTCAAGGCACATGAACTGCTACCTCAACTGCTTATAGCAATACTTGGGGGTTTGTAAGCAGGTACTTCTGTCCAGGGATGCTAGTCCTTCAAGGGTTGCCTCCTTTGTCATCATCTCAGTCCCTGAGAGGGCAAATTGATAAGAGGAGCATATGTTTGTACTAATAAATTAGACTGTTTCTTTAAAAAAAGCAAAGTTTGCAGGTAAGCCAGCATGTGACTTTTCCACTTGAATTAAGTTACTACCCAAAAAGTCAGAGAATGGAAAATATGCTTTAAATGGGTTCTTAATATTTGTTTTTAAGATGAGATTACCCTGTTACTTGTCTTTGCACAGGATTCCATAGGATTCCATCCCCCTATATTCCCCAGCATATGTGTATCTTAGGACTGTGAGACCTCAGCATTCATGGCAAGCGATCTTCATAAATTGCTTAGAGGGAGTCATGAACTGTTTGCAATGGTGTCTTCACCTCTGCCAGTCCAGGGTAATTCCTGATGGCAGTGTACACTGCTCATGAACATTGATAAGTTTTAAATCTGCACCCATATCGGAGAGTAGCTGGGACTGAGCTGTCTGTGCTGCATGGAACCAGCAACTTGCTCAGCCTCCTTATAGAGGCTGGACAAGGATTTATCTTCCTTTATGGAAGATAAATATGGGCCGAGCAAATAACTCATTTCCCTCTAAATTTCTACAAATTGCATGAATAGCCCTTGCTGGATGCAAAACTCTCCAGGTTGCTGTTTGAATACTAAGATAGAAATCCACTTTTCATGGACAGTTGACTATTTTCCTCTACTATGTATTAAAAACGGAACCAACAAAATATATCACAATTCTGGGATTTTTGGGATCCCTCTATCACTTAGCAAGTGTTGTGGTTAAACCCTAGCTGACAACTAAACCCAACACAGACACCCACTCACATCCCCTGTTGGTTGGGGGAGAGAGTCGGAAGAGTAAAAGTGAGAAAACCTATGGGCTTAGATAAAGATGACTTAATAGGCAAAGCAAAAGCCACATGTGTAAGCAAAGCAAAGTAAGGAATTCAGTCACCACTTCCCATGGGAAGGCACATGTTCAACCATTCGCAGAAAAGCTGAGCTCTATCATGTTGTACTGACTTGAGAAGACAGACATCATCACTCCAACTGTTCCCTCCCCTGCTTTCTTCTCCCCTTAACTCTCTATGCTGACCATGATGCCATATGGTTTGGGGTATCCCTTGGGTCAATTGGGGTCAGCTGTTCCAGCTATGTCCCCTCTCACCTCTTTGTGCACCCCCAACCTCCTCCTGGTGGAGTAATCTGAGAAGCATAAAAGACCTTGACCCTGCTTAAACAGTGCTCAGTGATAACTAAAGCATCCCTGAGTTGTCAGCATTGTTTTCAGCACAAATTCAAACCATAATCCCATACAAACTATGATGAAGAAAATTAGCACAAGACCACCAGTCAAAAACAGCACAAGAGGTAATTCCTTTATGGGATCTTCAGTTGAGTAAAATAGCAACTGCACATGCAGATCTCCTTTCATAGAACCTCAGCTTAGGGGAACTCAGGGACCACTCACAAAGTTCACTAAGCTGATTTAAGAGTCACTCTGAACGAAAGAGAAATCTTTTCAGGTGTCTCAAAAGGACCAATCTTAAATCACTGGGCTATGAACTGCTGGTCCTTTCAGAAACACCAGTGCTCCTTGGGGGCCTTATGGTGAAGGCTTCTTCCTAAACTAAACATGTTCTGGGTCTTGACACCACAAGGTCTGCCTGCTGTGCTAAACACAGGTTACTCATCCAAACTCAAAATAGGAAATGCTGATATTTTGGAAAAGAGACAATTTATACACAAAAGCTGGGTTAAAAAATGGTGATGTTTCCATATCTAACCAGAATCTAATTATCCTAAAAAAAATTGGCAGCATCAAGCTACCCAGCTGTGAGTAGCCTCTGACTCATTTTTGTAACACAGAGGATGTTTGTCCTGTGTGTTTTCCATTCAGAGAGAAATATATTTTGTGATTGTCCAGGATTATTACAAGTCAAACCATGATGCTAGAACACATGAACTTGATTTTTTAATTTTATAAAAATTTTTTTTTTGAGAAGCCGCATTCGAAATCATTTAAAAATATAATTAAAATGTAAAATTGCTCTTACGCAATATAGGTTGTCAGGAAATGTGGAATCCTTCTGCTCTGGTTTAGTTTTTCTCAGGAACATGATTTGAATGATAGGTTCCATATGATGAATTTAGATTGACAGTAAGGCACTGAAGTTCTGTTTTATTGTGGTCAGCTCTTCTGTCCAAGTTCTGTTTAAAAGAGTAAGAAACCAGACTGTTCAGATTTTAGCAGAAGGCTCCCGTCTGTGTTTTTATATCTTCATCCATGCAGACTCCCATTTTGAAGTCTATCAAACTTGTCAGGGTTGTCTGTCTCCACAGATCAGATATTTTCTCTTGAAAAAACCAACAGAAGAACACAGAGACCATAGTCTTTCCTTCACTAATAATTTCATTAAAAATTTAGGTCTGACAATAAACAAGATATAGGCATAATGGTGAAATTAAGCTTATTTTTAGTCTCATGTGATATATGAGCAATGGCAATTCAAATCTCCAAAGATATAAATGCTTGTAAACCTGACTATCAAGAGGCCTCTCTGTGGATGGGCTTCTCTGGCACTTTGGTAGTGCTCTTGTAAAAGTTGAGTACTATTTATTAGGTGGTTGATGTGATGTATGCCTTATTTGTAATCAAGCAGGCAAAGAAAAATAAATCAAACCACGTGATTTCTAAAGGGACAGGGGACAAAGAAAGGGGATAGAAAAAATATAAAATATTCTATATGTTTAAATACATATTAATATTTTATTTTTAATAATTGTTGTCCAGTTTTTTGTTATTGCAGTTTCTGTCTGAGTTTGGTTTTTCTTTTTCATTTCCAAGTTGAAAAAGTGGAATGAGAAAGAGAAGAGAAATGGCGATGATGAAAAGCAATAGATGGGAAAATCACTGCTTTTTGTTAACCACATCCATTGAAAATAGAGAAAATTAAATTGAAAACATTTCTAACCTCAGATGATAATTTTTCAAGGAAAAGAATGCACCCAACAATCTACTAATGCAAAAAGTGCCTCTAGCTCTGTATCTTTATTGTTATTGGATTATATTCAGATGTTGATTTGCTCCATCAAAACTACCCAGTTCAACAGCTTGGGGAAATCAGGAAATGGAAGGGAAAAGTACAAACCCAAACCCAGAACATAAAAACTGTGTCATAATATATACTTATTTTAAAAGATCAGTTAAAAAGAAAGATGGGGAGAGTGGAAAAATTAGCTCAATCACTTTTTAAAACTTACAATGTTATGATTTCATCAAAAGTTGAAAAATAATACTCTATTAGCAGTAGAGATATGTATTGTAGGCTTGTCTACCTATCTAAGCATTGCCCATCGCTGGCTGAGGACAATGTATTTTAGAAACATCCATCTGAAAAAAAAATTTAATTTGCTTTCTTTCAAAATCAAAAATGATTAATGTACTTTTTATTCATTCCATACCCAGTCTCTTCTTTATAGCACTCTTCAGCACAGTTATGTTCATGTAAAGGAAATAGCGATTAGTTAAAATAAATGTTTTAAAATTGCATTATCATAATGCATTCATAACGCTACCGGAGGAACTGAGTTCTAGAGCAACTTCCAAAGTGGGAATAAAAACTCCTTGATTCAAATATTTTTCGGAAGATGCCTGATTTTGTATTCCTGACTTGTCCTTTGGCATAGCTGCATATGCCAGAAAGCAATTAGTACAATGAATTTTACTGTTTTCTTTAGTTATGTGCTAAATTCAAATATTTCCTTTAAAGCTTTCTGACAAGGAAATCAGACTTCAAATATTTATTTATTACCTCACGATTTTAAAGAATACTGTAGTTGTGAAATTTTAAATATTTGGACTGATTAAGTAACCAACAGGCAATGGTGATATATTGATATGGTTTGAAGGTGGCTCCCTGCCAAGTCTCCAAACCTTACCACAAAAAATCCCTCCCCCCCCCCCAAACCCTCAGGGAGAAGAGGGAAAAAACAACCAAGAAAACCAAAACGAGAGAGAGACAGCTAAAGCAATATATATAAACATATTTACAGTTATATACAATTGAAATATATGTACAATTTCACAAGGGAAAGGGAAGGGGAAATGGAAGAAAAGGAACAAAACTAAACTAAAATATATATATATATATATATATATATATATATATATATATATATATATATATATATATCCCGATCAGTAGCCCAAGATCTAGCAACTAAAAGAATTATCAAAGACTATCTTACTACTCTCCTTGGGACAACAGAAAGTCGCTCTGGAACGATCACCGACAACCTCCGCCTCCCAAGGTCGACAAGGCCTTACCAGGCCTCGCTCCCCAACACGGCAGACCCAACAGCAGGGAACCTGCACCTCCAAGCCGCTGGAAGGAAAGAGAGCGAAGGCCTCTCCTCCTTTCTTCTTATAGCCTGGCTTACTTAAAAATTGTAGGGAATACTGGGTAAATCTGGGAACTTCCTTGGTTACAAACTGGTCACCAAGGAAGGCCCAGACCAAACTACCACATATATGCTCCCATACTCATGGAATTCTCACTTCTCCAGTGTGCCTATGGCATTGGTACTGAGAAGCCAAATCCTGTCTTTTTTAGTTGAATTAAGATTATAATCTTCTGGGAGCTGTGTTTTTCTTGTATGTTCATACAATACCTCTATCAATACATCTTTGATCTCCTACATGTTACCAGAATTCAAATAAATTCCCTATTACACATTTATCACATTTATCGGGGGCAGGGGGGGGAACAAACAGAAAAGCTATATATGCATGATATAATACAAACTTTACATTTCTCTCTCAGAATAATAATCTCAGAATAAAAACAACTCCAGGCTCAGTGACCCAGGGAGTCAGTGTGTAACATGTTTGAACTATGATTCCAAGCTGCAGATAGAAGGACATAAATAATGTAGGCATGTACTGCCCGTTGATTTAGGCATTTTTAGCAACATATTTTTCTGAAAACAAACAAACAAAAAAACCCCAAACAAGTCAACAACTTGTGGGGAAACATTTCTGTATAGGGAATGCTTCCTTAAAAATGCATTGGTGATGATTTCACCAGGAACAAAACTTATATGGAATTTTCAAATAGCCCTTGCTGTGGATGGGAAAATAGTATAGGTCTCAGGGAGCTGATGGTGTGTTTCTGCTTGGAGGTTGTTATACCCAAAATCATTTTTGTGGGCAAAGAGGAAGCACTCCTTATTCATAAAGCCAAGTATTCGTAGGTTATATAAAAGAAATCTTAATGGCCTCATTTAAGAATTTTTCTTAATTCAGATCTAATTATTATTGAAAAAGAAAGAACACTTTTATGATTAAAAAGTCTCAATAATAATAATAATAATAATAATAATAATAATAATAAAGTTAATATTGTTATACATACACTTTTCAATTTCTACCCCTTTTCCTGGGGTTATAATCACCATTCCACTTCCTGCTTGGTCCTTAGCTCTGTAACCAGGATGCTCTTGCTGTTATTTTTACATGTTTGCTAAAATTCTTTTACACTTTGCTTTTTCTTTACTGGTCTGTAATTCCATGTTACAACTGAATTTATGGCGGCTTTTCTCTATGCTATGTAGTGTTTTCCTTTTTCTTCTTTTTTATTCCTAAGAGCAGCATGGCCCACCTCTAGTTCTGCTTTTCTCTAATTGAGAGTTGGTGGGTTGCTTATAGAAGTGGGATTTCAAGTGCCAAACTTGTGCCAAGCCTGTGCCAAGCCTTATGCTGTTACCCTTGTACATGCTATCTGCTATAACACCAAGTCTGCAGTCGTACATTATTAGAGTCAGAAATACCTTGCTCTGCACAGAAAAACTACTTGTTATTCATATTATGAAAATACGATTCTACCATACAGTAATGAAAAACAAGCCAAAGAAAATTAGCCATAGCCACTTAGTCAGAAGAAAAAATACTTTTTCTATGATAAGTTAACAAATATTATCCCGATAAGTTCCTGAGACCTTGCAAATTCAGTAGAGAGTCTGTGGCTGTTACCAGCAAAAGCAGTGCCAGATTTCTGGGATTCAGGTTTCCAGGTATTTCAGCATTCAGTCTGTGCATCTCACTGCTCTTGGTCTGTTCTGCCCCCCATGAAACAGAAATGCATTGTTGTTCCATTATCTCCCCCACTGAAACGCTTTGTAGGTCACATTACTTTCTAAAGGTTAAGCACAAAGTCACTTGAATTAAAATCGTGTGATATACTCTAGTTGAGTGTCTTCCCAGTTAAAATATATTCCTGCACAAAATGAACTGAGAATTTCTCTGCCATCATATATCCTGATTCTGAAACTTAACAATTAGCTATTCATTTTTAAGCTATGCTTTTCATCTTTATTTTAACATTGCCTTAAATTTGACATGAAAGGTTTTAATGAAGGTGTGAAATACTTGGCAGTTAAATGTAGCATATGCTGTAACACCTGTTAATTTCAACTGTTCATTTTAAGCTGTTACTTTATTCTTGGCATTTAGTCTAATTCACACTGTGATTCTTAGTTTGAAAGAAAAAAATATCCAAGCTGCTTATATATTCCCTTCTACAGCAACTTTTACTTAATATTTTGTATTTCTGCCATTTTTTTTAACATTGTGCATTTGTATGGAAAGAGTGTTAAAAACAGGATTGCAACCTCATGCTGCAAGAGATTAAACTACAAGATGAGAAAACATGGAAGTTAATGATCAAAGCTTCATCTTGGATTTTCCTAAGAAAGCTTGGATAAGCTCAAATCATTGGAGCCTCCTGGCAGCCTCCATCCATTTAAATTTGATCTAAACATAGGGCCGATTTTAAAGCTCAAATAGGGCTAACACAGAAATCTGACTTTTTGCATTAAAATTATTATATTAGCAATAAGTATGTGATTAAACTAAAGTATATAGGACTTTGTCTTTATTTTAGGATGATGATGATGATCACTGTGCTCCTTGCAGTGTTAATCCTGGTGGTAGTCAGTGGCAGCTGGATTAGTTATGCCAAGAAATATGGGACTGTTCCAGTCAAAATCAGTGAACATTCAAATAAAGTAGTGATCCAATATTCAATGCTGATTCATAAGGATGCTTCAACTGCATTTTACACTGCAGCCTAAATACATATCTCTCTTTTCCCTGTATATCAAGTACTTCATTATACTGTGAGTATAATGCCAAAAGAAGTACCGCTGTTAAAATAGGCTCTATAATTATGTGTGAATATGGCTGTAAGGTGACACTGTATCATACAGAG